AGCGCGAGTTGTATGACAAAGTCAAGAATGCGAGTGGATGGCTTGTGTAAGAACCTGCCGGAAATATTGGAAAGAAAGCGTGACAACGTCACGATGAAATGAATGGCAAAGTGAAATTGTGGTCCGAAGTTCTGCAGACCGGCACGTTCTCACTGGGTCGGTGTTCTGTTGACTTCCGGATGCTTGGGTTTGCTTGTTTCATGGATCCGCTTCAACGGCGGTTGCGCACTTGGTGCAGATGCACCGCTGAAATCAACCCCAATCTTCAGACATGAAAACAAAAGTGAGCTCAAATCGGTCACTTCCCTTACTTGTACCGCTGGCAGTCTTGCGGCACTCGGTCCTCGCTGCACACCAATGCGTGTCAAAAATCATTCAAATGTAATACAAGTGAACGCTGACGTCAAGCGTGCGGTGTGCGCTGAAAAACGAGCGTTGATCGGTTGTTGTGTTGTTTGCAGCGAAGGGTGTCACTTCCGCGAGCTTGATCCCGGCCTGTGATAAAAATTTGAAGTATGGTGATTAGCGCATTCATTGTCGTGCAGTTATTCTCAAAAAGTATCGCAGAAATTTCAGTCCAGTGGTAGTAGCACCATGGAAACCTACGTTCAAAGAACGCCTGCGACCGACTTCATGTTTCGCGAATGTTCGCTTGAAAATGACAAAAACCGCGCCCCGCACACCAGAATACAACATGGCGTTAGGACGACCACTCCATCTAGTATTATTCAAAGCAACGAGCGGGGCAAAAGGGACCAATGCAGCGACAGGACAGGCGATAACAGGAAACGAGTGAGCTTGTTCTCACCGTTTGCGTGTCTTTTCGCGGTGTTTCGTGCTTCTTTTCTCGACTTGTAGTATTCTGAGATATAATGACATATTGTCCAATCGAGATACGCGCGATTGGAGGAGGATGAGAAAGTGTAGTTTTTAAACTGCAGAAATGCTCTGGGTCATAGAGGGGGTGCTTCTAATTCCGAACAAAACCTATTTCGCTGCCTTGTTTCGATAGTAATACATACGATATGGTTTAGTGATACTATGGTTAGACGGAGGGGTTGATCGCACGTCTCGGGTCGGCAGGGCGCCGGTCGTCAGTTTGGCTCGTTTTGCTGGACATGCATTACGCGTGTTCGGAATTAAAAGCATTTCGCTAGTGGACGCGCCCATACTCATCTGAGCGGGCCCCTCGCCCTACTGGCATGTGACATCAACCTAGACTCTCCGACTGGTAGCAAAGAGAGGGCATGGAACATCGCCGGGGCGGCTGCAGGCCTGTTGAACAACCAAATGGCCTGAAAAGCCCGAAAGTGCATCTCGAGCAGACGCGGTCCTAGCCGCCTCCTTTTGCGCGGAAAGTGATACATGCAACATGTTTGTTTATTCTATGAACAGGCGGGGGCGATGGTTGCACTGCAGGAGCAAAGTCAACGCGTTGACAAGTTCATCAGTCGAGACGGTGCGTGCCCAGCCTGAATCGAGGTTTCGAGCCCCGCTCGTTGTGAAATGCAATCGCATACATCGTCTTCGTGATTGTGCATAATCGCGGGCTGGACGCACATGCGAAAATTTTCCACGATGGATCGGGCTCGAGTGAATGCCCCGTCGCTGCCGCTCTGTGTGTCACTGCGCCGCACGTGCACGACTCTATGATCAGCATCGTCCCACATACTCCCATCTGTATCATTATTGGCGCCGGAAATGGCACAGGAGCTGTCCTGGGCTGCTGTGCTGCTCATTGCGCATTTCCTCCCACAGGACCAGCAGTCACTGTCTGCACCGACACTCGCAGCACAACTCTGCCGCCTCGGTCTCTACCTTCATCGATAAAAAAGACTGGGTTTACTATAGTTTCAAGCGGGGAAGCGGATTAGAGGCTTCTACATCGACTAGTGGCTCAAAAACACTCTTGTTCGGAATTAAAATCAGGGGCGCAATGGTGGCCCAGTCAAAAAATTCTGTTCGGAATTAGAGACGCCTCTCTACTCTGATACGACAATATTGCTGAGAGAAGAAGAAACAAAAAAAGCACTGAAATGAAAAACAAAACCAGGTTCGTTTCAAAGCGTCATTCTACTCTCTATCTCCTCCTCATCTTTGTGTTTGCTTGCAATTGTCCATTTCGATGGAATGCAAGGATTGGAAACTGGGAAGGCGAAGCTTTGGTTTGCTTGTTTGGTTTTTTTTGTTTGTTTGTTTGTTTTGTTTTGTTTTGTTTGTTTTGTTTTGTTTTGTTGGTCAGCAAGCAAGTGGCCGACACCACCGTCCAGCCGTTCTTTACGCTGGATTTGCTGCTGCTGCTGTTTGCCATTTGCTCCTTGCTGCTGACAATCAAGGCTCTCTTCAAATCGTACAAAGGAACAACACATCACCTACTGATACTTATCGTCCCTCATCCGACCCTCAGTAGCACGTCTCACAAATAAGCAAGCAGCCCAAACTAAAGCAAAAAAAAAAATCACGAACAATCCAGCTACTGCATTTCTGCAGTTTAAAAACTACACTTTCTCATCCTCCTCCAATCGCGCGTATCTCGATTGGACAATATGTCATTATATCTCAGAATACTACAAGTCGAGAAAAGAAGCACGAAACACCGCGAAAAGACACGCAAACGGTGAGAACAAGCTCACTCGTTTCCTGTTATTGCCTGTCCTGTCGCTGCATTGGCCTCTTTTGCCCCGCTCGTTGCTTTGAATAATACTAGATGGAGTGGTCGTCCTAACGCCATGTTGTATTCTGGTGTGCGGGGCGCGGTTTTTGTCATTTTCAAGCGAACATTCGCGAAACATGAAGTCGGCCGCAGGCGTTCTTTGAGCGCTAGGTTTCCACGGTGCTACTACCACTGGACTGAAATTTCTGCGACACTTTTTGAGCATAACTGCACGACAATGAATGCGCTAATCACCATACTTCAAATTTTTATCACAGGCCGGGATCAAGCTCGCGGAAGTGACACCCATCGTTGCAAACAACGCAACAACCGATCAACGCTCGTTTTTCAGCGCACACCGCACGCTTGACGTCAGCGTTCACTTGTATTACATTTGAATGATTTTTGACACGCATTGGTGTGCAGCGAGGACCGAGTGCCGCAAGACTGCCAGCGGTACAAGTAAGGGAAGTGACCGATTTGAGCTCACTTTTGTTTTCATGTCTGAAGATTGGGGTTGATTTCAGCGGTGCATCTGCACCAAGTGCGCAACCGCCGTTGAAGCGGATCCATGAAACAAGCAAACCCAAGCATCCGGAAGTCAACAGAACACCGACCCAGTGAGAACGTGCCGGTCTGCAGAACTTCGGACCACAATTTCACTGTGCCATTCATTTCATCG